AGAGCCCCCCCCATGGCAAGGGGGAGGGGGGATTCCCCCCCCCCCCGCCTGGCAGCAGCTGGTGAGTGGGGACTTTTTTTTTTTGTTAAAGAGTCAGGAGCTGGGAGAGCGGGTGGGACAGCCACTGAAAGCGGGTGGGGAGTGGGGCCAATTTGGTGGTGGCCGAATCTCCGAATCAGATTCATCCAAATAAATTTTGGACACTGATCTGAATCACCGAATTGAATCACTGTCCCCCAAATCAGCCAAATCTGAATCTGAAGTGAATACCTGCCACTTTGCACAGGCCTAACTTCCACCACTTCTCCCTTATCCAGGTAGTGAGTCACCTGATCATAAAAGGAGATGAGATTGGTTAGACAAGACCTGCCCATGACAAAAAGCCATGCTGACTGTTATTCAGAATCCTACCTTCTGCAATCATGTTGCACACAGACTCCTTAATGAATTCTTCAAGCCAAACCGGGCTGGCTCTGTGGCAGCATGAGGTCCATGGCACTGCAGGTGAGAGCCGTGAGCCATTGGCCTGCACCAGCTCTGTGCCTCCATGTGGGACTTTGAGCACTCCAGTGTTGTGGGCATGGGGATGGGGGGTTTGTGATTTGTCGGTGGGTGGGGGCCGCAGGCCATTGAGCTGGGTAGGCTCCGTGCCTTCACATGCAGCTTCCCCCTGGAGTGCTGCAACCTCCACATGAAGCAATGGAGCCAACTGACCCAGCCCACTGGTGTGCAGCCCACACCCACCCACAAACTTCACATCCCCCCAAACCCACACCCAACCCCTTCTCCTGCAGGCAGGATCTGCCTTCCCCCCTTACCAGTTATCTAGTCACACACCACGGCACTCGATGCCTCCACATGGGGCTCACAGCTGGAGTGCCAGGAGCCCTGCAGACATGGAGGCACAGAGCCTGCTGGGGTTAAATTATGCAAAATTATGCAATTATGTGTGGTCATGGCTTCTATGTGCAAAATGGAGCAGGTGCAGAATTGCATAATTCCCCAGGGTGTAACAAAGGAATTTAGGTACAGTGACATCCCGCACCTAGAGTCCTGTTTCATGGGCCTAGCTCCTTTTTGTAAGTCAGCCCCAGATCACTTTGAATTACAGTATATTTTTTCATCATGTAACTGCACATAACTTTAAATTTTACTAAGCAATTATGTTTCTCAAATAGAGGGATTTTAGATATTGTGGATTATTTAATGATTTTTTATTTTCTTTAATCCAAAGGGTATCATGATGAGTAGCTCACCTGGCGACCTGGGAAGACGCCGCGATTGCAGGACTCAAGACTAGGACACTGCAGCCCCAAGGCAAGCAACTTACCTAGAGACTCCAGCAGCTCTGGTGAGTGTGGGAAGAGCTGGGGCTCCATACAGCAGCTTGGTGGAGGAACCCTGAGTGGAGGGGGACACCCCAGGACAATGGGTGGGCAGGAGGATCTCACGTAAGCCCTGGCCCCAACCCCAGAACTGCTAAAATGCTGAGGGTGGCAATGCAGAAGGTGGAGGAGCAGCCGAGACCGCTCCCAGCCCGAGACAAATGTGAGAAACGTGGGGAATGCACCTCGTTAACAAGGCAATCAGCAATAAGAAGAGCAAGCACTACATTGCATCTGGGATGCATCCGGCACCAAGTTACCTTATCGGCAACTTGGATGCACCTCGCTAATGAAATAATTAGTGAGGCTACTGCTAATGTGCAACTCTCCATTAGAAAATGAACCAGCACTGTGAGAATGTACTATCTGGGTGGTATTATTGATTCCTAGCTCTGACAGACTACTGATACCTCCTTCATTTCCTTTCTATCCAAGTCATGGCAGGCGAGTTCATAGGAAGACAGAGCCAGGATCATTCACCTGCTCAAAAAGTGGTGCACTGGCTGGAAAGAGCCATCAGCAACCCAAGGCAACATGGAGTCAATTGACACCCAAGCCCCGACTGACTGGCAGCAGGCAAACAGTATTATCCTACGGCTACTGCAGGGACAACAAGCCCAGCTGGAGGAGATCTCACCAGCAGGATTTGTGTGAGAAAAATCGAGGCTCAGCAAACGTCTCTGGGGAGAAAAGGAGATGGAGCCAGGCTTCCTCAGACATCTCCAGAAGACAACATGGAAGTCTATTTAGAGGCCTTTGAAAGGACGGCCATGGCCGCAAAATGGGACCCCAGCAGCTGGGCCGCACAGATTGGGCCCCTCCTCATCAGGTCAGCACAAGCTCCCTATCATGCCCTTAACAGGGTCGAGGCCAGAGATTATCGGAAGGTGAGAGAGGCAACATTGTACCAATTAGAGATCTCCTCCAAAACCTACCGTCAAAAGTTCCAGGCCCGGAAGGGGCCTGAGGGGACTCGTCCCTGCCTGCTGACACAGATGCTAAGGAACTGGGTGGAGCAATGGTTACAGCCTGAGACTCTCACCCTCCAGGAAGTGGTGTATCTTATAGTCCTGGAGCAATTTCTGATGGACCTTAGCAATAGCTCCCAGCGGTGGGTTCGGCGCCACCAACCCAAAATAGTGGAAGAAGCTCTGCGGCTCACTGAGGATTATGCTGCTGCTGAAGGGGATGGCGAAACCCCCAGGAGGGATTGTCCAGGAGGTCTGATGGCCAGACCCCATCAGGTGGCACGCAGCCATGCCCAGAGGGGTGACAGCACACGGAATTCTGGGTGGGAGGCCCAGACCTGGGTCTCTAGGGAGATAGTGTGCTACAGGTGTGGGGAGAAAGGGCACATTTCCCAATTTTGCCCATGGAGATCCCAGGCTGAAGTGCTAGTTGATAGCTCCCACGATGAGTTGATGTATTGAAGCTTTGGTTGACAATAAGGGGCCAGCCACCAAAACAAGCCTGCAGTCAAAGTAAGGGTAGGAGACACCATCATACCGGTGGTCATCGACACTGATTGCTTGCAGTCAATGATACAGGCAGACCTCTTCCCATCCCATCTGGGGATCCTGGAGAGCCCAGTGAGCATGGTCTGCGTTCATGGGGCCTCATACACCTACGAACGTTGACACGTCCAGCTCACTGTGATGGGTCACACAGAAGAGACTGCCGTAGGCCTAGCTGAGACCCTGCCATACCCCATGCTCTCAGGAGTGGATTGGCTGTATCTGGAGGAGATGATCACCTGAGTCCTCACCAAGAGAGGCGGCAAGTGGGAAAGAGACCCAGAAGCAGCTTGCTTCGGGACTCCGGAGAACAACGAGGGAGAAAACCTCGACATGGAGCAATCAACAGGCGAAGGATACTTCCGGGACGAACAAAGATAAGAACCCCTGTTCCAGAACATCTGGAAGTTACAATTGGCCAAGGACAAAGGGGAGATGGTGGACCCTTGGAGAGCAAAACAGAGGCCACGGTTTGAGGTAAGAGGGGGCTCTCTCTATTGGGTGGAGGACCAGGAAGACAGGCAGAAGAGGTGCCAGATTCTAGCCTCTCGCAGGTACTGGTGGGTCCTTCTACACGTCCCCCACATGCTCGCAGGTACTGGTGGGTCTTCTGGCCTGGCCTCTACAAGATGATGGAAAAGTTCTGTGTGGAGTGTGCTGAGTGCCAGAGAATGGGAGGGGTAAGACTGGCAAAAGTCCCTCTGATGCCTATGCCCCGTGGCAGGGCGCCCCCTTAACCGAATCACTCTAGATGTGGCACGACCATTTCCCCATAGCCGAGCAGGATACCAATTCATTTTTGTGATTATTGACTACACCACTCGCTTCCCCGAAGGTCAGTAACAGCCACCACAATAGCAGGGGCCCTCCTGAAATGGATTGCATGGGTTGGCATTCCTAAAGAAATCCTTACTGATCAGGGAAAGAATTTATGTCCAAGATCCTAAAGGGGATTTGCCAAACCCTGAGGATTAAGCAGCTCTGAACTTCCATTTATCATTCACAGATGGATGGCTTAGCAGAGCACTTTAATTGCACTTTGAAAGGGATGATCCGGGCCTGCATTCAGGGAGATCCATGGGGGTTGGATGCCATGATACCTCCACTGCTTGTTTCCATAAGGGAGGCACCACAGGCCTCCACGGGGTACACTCCACTTGAATTGGTTTATGGTTACAACCCGCAAGAACTGTTGGACATTATATGCAAGGAGTGGGGAAAAGAGGCCAGTGACTCAGCTCAGCCATGAGTGGTGGTTGACTTCTGGGAATGACTGAGGAAGGCCCAAGAGATAGCTCAGAAGAATCTCGGCCAAAGCCAGGAGAAGCAGAAGCAGCATTATGACCCATGGACTACCGACAGAGAGCTCCAGATAGGAGACTGGGTGTTGGTGTTGTTCCCTGACAACTGGGCCATTCCAAGTTACAAGGCGCATGGGACCAGCGAATTATGAAGTCTTCTGGACCACATCCACCCAAAGGCAACAGATTTACCACATCAATCTGTTATGGAGGTGGCACTAACAAGACAGGTGGTTGATGAAGGAACCAGAGGGGTTTGAAGAAGTGGAAGAAGTCGCATTATCCCGGGCCTGACACGCCTCCCGGATAGCCTGGGAATTGATGACCAGTTAAGCCCCGAACAGCAGAAGGATTTGAAAGCTCTGATAGTACAGTTCCAAGATGTATTTAGAGAGGTACCAGGTGAAGCTCGGGGAGTAAAACACCAGATCCTAACCACACCGGGGCGAGCGATTCGCAACCATTGGAGGAGGTTGCTTCACCATTTCTGGCTGGCAGCCAAGCAGGAAATAGACCAAATGAGAGAGCTAGGAATTATTGAGGAATCTTGGAGCCCATGAAGGAGCCCAATGGTGGTAGTTCCAAAAGCGGATGGCTCGATACACCTGGGCATCGACTATCACAAGGTGAATGAGATCGCAACATTTGATGCCTCCTCTATGGCGCAGGTGGACGACATGTTGGAGACTCAACCACGCCCAGTACATATCCACTCTGGATCTGACCAAGGGCTACTGGCAGATCCCCATAGCAGAGGTGGACAAGAAAAAGACGGCCTTCGGCACCCCATGGGGCCTGTTCCAATTCAAACGGATGCCGTTTGGGCTACACGGGGCAGCCGTCTCCTTCCAGTGGCTGATGGAGCAGCCACTAGCTCCACACCAGTGGTACATGGCTGCATACATTGACAACACTATTGTGTTCTCGCAGGATTGGGAAGCCCACCACCAGCACTTACGAGAGGTCCTGGAGGAACTCAGACGGGCAAGACTCATGGCCAACCCCCAGAAATGTGCACTGGGGAAGAGCAAAACACAGTACCTGGGCTTCTAGGACAGCATAGCATAAAGGACAGAGTAGCATAAAGCTGGTAGTGGACAAAGTGGTGGCAATCCAACAACACCCCTTGCCCCAGACACTCAAACAAGTGTGATCGTTCCTTGGTTTTGCAAATTACTACTGGCAGTTCATCCACGGATTTCTGGAAAAGGTGGCCTCCCTGACAGAGCTGACCAAGGGCCGCCGGAACTCAGAAACCCTCTGTGCTTTCAAACAGCTTAAAGAGGCCCTGTGTCAACATCCAGTGTTATATATCCCAAATTTCCAGAAGACATTCTTTCTGCAGACGGATCCCTCAGGCATCGCCACAGGGACAATTCTCTTCTAGGAGTACGAGGGCAACGAAAGGCCCATAGCCTTTGCCAGCAAGAAGCTAACCCTGGCAGAAACCCACTACTCGACAATTGAGTGAGAGTGTTTAGCCATCTGGTGGAGGGTAGAGCTTTTTCGCTATTACCTCATAGGGAGGGAGTTCATGTTGATCACTGACCATACCTCTCTACACTGGCTGCAAATGGCTAACCTAGATAATACCAGACTGATGAAGTGGTCCTGGGACTTACAACCCTTTTATTTTACAGTAAGACACCGAGCGGGGACGAAGAGCAAGAACATCAACTTCCTTTCACACACAGAAGATGGATGAGACAACACCATGGACTACCAGTTTTAGAGGAGTTTTTTTCTTTTCTTTTTGGTTCTGGAGGTCATTTCTTTACTCTTTTCAGTTACCTCTCCCAAGGGTGCCTAGCAAACTAAGGGGGGAGTTGTGTAACAGGGGCTCAGGCAGGAGCCCTGTTACTAAAGCAGGATCAGGCAAGATTGACCCAATGATGCACACTGCCAGGTGGAGGGATTCCCGCACTGGGGGCACGGCAAGGTTATTAGCACCCATAATCTCCAGCAGCTCCAGTGAGTGTGGGAAGAGCCAGGGCTCCATAGAGCAGCTTGGCAGGGGAACCCCAAGTGGATGGAGACACCCCGGGATGATGGGCAGGCAGGAGGATCCTATGTAAGCCCTGACCCCAACCCCAGAACTGCTACAACGCTGAGGATGGCGGCATGGAAGGCAGAGGAACAGCCGAGACAGCTCCCAGCCCGAGGCAGATGTAAGAGATGTGGGGAACGTGCCTCATTAACAAGGCAATTAGCAATACGAATGGCAAGTACTACACTGTATCTGGGAAGCATCCGGCGCTGGGTTATCTAATCAGCAGCTCGGATGCACCTTGCTAATGAAGTAATTGGCAACGCACTGCTACTGTGCAACTCTCCACTAGAAAATAAACCAGCACTGTGAGCATGTACTATCTGGGTGGCGTTATTGATTCCTAACTCTGATAGACTACTGATACCTCCTTCATTTCCTTTCTATCCAAGTCGTGGCAGGTGAGTTCACAGGGAGACAGAGCCAGGATCATTCACCCACTCACACACACAATCAACCCTGGCACAGCCATGACATAGAATACCCTACCTGGCACCTGGACAATGGTGGGCAATGTCCTGCTGCTGCGAGGGTTGTTAAAATATGCTTATGACATCCAAGGAAGGAGACCACACCCTCCACTATAGAGAAAGGCAAAACCCCTCACAGTCCATACCAATCTAACAATGGGGTAAAATTCCTACTTCACCCCAAATATGATGATCGGTTTGACCATGAGTGGAGGGGCAGGACCTCTAACTAGGAAACCCTGGGCATAAGTCCCAGTAGAGGCACTGGCACACCTCAATCAAAATTCCAGCCTTGGCTGCAGCCAACCACGGATATTTCTGAGGAAGGTGGGGAAGAAAGAACATGACAAGTGTAGCAACAGGAGGAGGAAAAAATATCCTTTCCAGAACCAGCAAAACCCATAAGAGTGCCCTGAGTCAAGTATAGGAATTGCTACTCCCAAATCATCCCTGAACATGTTAAGCATTAAAGACCAAGGCAGACTGTTAGGAACTATAAAAGGATCCAACACAACTGTGGAAATGGGCAAATGGCAGATGAAATTCAGTGTAGGTAAGTGTGAAGTGATAGACCTAGGCAAAAATAACCCAAACTATACTTACACTACATTAGCTGTTGAGTTTCCTTCCAAGCCCTTTATCATTTTTGTCACCCACCTCTGGACCCTCTCTAACTTCTCCAAGTCCTTTTTAAAATGTGGAGCCCAAAACAGCACACAGTATTCTAGATAAGACCTAACCTATGCTGAGTAAAGAGGCACTATCACCTCCCATATCTTGCACATAATGCTTCTCCTGAAGCAGCTCAAAACTGCATTCACCTTTTGTATATCCACATCACACTTAAGACTCATATTGAATCTATGATCCACCAAGACTCCTAGATCTTTCACTGCAGTACTGCCATCCAGCCAGTATCACCCACTTTGTATTTGTGGTCCCAACTATTCTTCCTGAGCAGTATAATACCCTGCATGTATCAGCACTGAATTTCATCCTGTAAGTGCAGGATGGGCCCAAGGGCCCATGAGCTGTTGCAGGCCAGGTCAGCACCCCATCCCCACCCCCACGCAACAACTCACCAAAAGCCCGTATGCAGATGTGGGCAGGCCTGAAGCAGTGTCCGGGAGTGGGGCAGGAGGCCAAGGCTGGGATCCAAAGGCCCAGGCTGTGGGACAGAGACAGCTCAGAGCCATAGCCTGGGCTTAGTTACAATCCACTCCTCACA